AGTACTTAAACAGGACACAGCCAATAAAGAGGACAGATTTACTGTCTCACTGGTGAAACTCTAACTAAAGAGCAGTGGCTGGGACTGATTAGAAGAAAAAAACGTATGTGTACCCTAACACATACTAGGAACTAGAAACAATTTATCCCTTCAGTCTCCAATTTATCCCTAACACCAGTGTTTCTCCTGAAAGATGGAGAGAATGAACCAAAGCAGGTTTACTCTGATAGTGGTCATCCTTTTTAAGGTAAAACATGTCCAACTGAGGAGGTTTAGATCAAAGCATCTGGCCACAGGACACATTTTCACCTCAGTGAGTTGGCACAACGTCGGACTTTTCTTTGAAGTGAAGAAGACACTTCACACTCAGTTTAATAAGGCATCTGTGTCATGGTCCAGGACGCACATGAGAAAAAGAGACTCATTTTTTAACAACTGTAGGCTGAGGTTTTTCCGAAACATTCAAAGTGTTTTTCATACAAGTTCTACAAAGTCATAACTATGTTGCTAGTGTAGGGGTTGAACCCATGACTTTGGCATTATTAGTACCACGCTCTAACCAACTGAGCTAACCGGCCTGCTTCACTAACCTGAATTAAAGCTTCTAGCTATATAACAATAAACTGTTGTCCTGGGAGTTTTGAAGACAGTAGTTTGACAAGGAGAGCTAACAAAGTACAATGTTCCCATCTACTGTCTGCAAAAGGACAGGATCTTTAGATTTTCAGTCTAACGCTCTCCCACTTGAGTGGAAATTACCTGAAATGAACATTTTTCTACATGCAATATACTCCCAGCTGAGCTATTTCCAGCTATTTTAAGCCTGTTACCAATATCAACGTATTCTACAGTATAGCATAGAGGCAGGATGGTGATAAATGCTCTCCTGGTAGAGGGTTGTAACTCAATAAAATCTAAAGGGTTCCAAGGTGTAAAGGTCATCGCACTGAATCCAGCAATCTGAGTTCAAGTCTCAGTGGAACTGGTTTTGAAATAAAAAGTGCTTTACAGGAGCCCACTCAAAAAGCTGTCCATTATGCTCAGTCAACTAATGATTTTTTTCATTAATTCTTACACAACCTCCCAAAGGGATGTGCCCCACATTTTAAGAACCAACTGGTGGGATGTAAATAACCTACATGCAGGGGAGAAAAATCTTGAAGATTTAAGCTAGCAGAGGATGGTTTCGATCCATCGACCTCTGGGTTATGGGCCCAGCACGCTTCCGCTGCGCCACTCTGCTGTGTTTGCTATGTGTCAGGTGATGTTTAGAATGCATGAATTGTCAGGATCTGTCCTGTTAATGGTTTCCTTCAAACCACTAAAACACTGTGTGAGCTCAGTGGTTCCCTAAGAGTCAGTGTCAGAGGTCAGCACCAACAACACCAAAACATTATTCTGATGAGGAATAATTCACTGAGAATTTACTAACCTGTTCTCTGAGGCCACCATGGTCTGGTAGGTCAAATTGATTCACCAAATTACAGACTCCAGTCAGATAATCAAAAACTATGTCCTAGTCAATAACAAATGTGTTCATCAAGTGTTGAAAGCTAGCAGGATATGAGCTTGTTCCTGCCTGGTTAGATGTGGCATCAAGCTGCTGGCATGGTGAGATGTGGACCTCTGGGTTATGGGCCCAGCACACTTCCACTGTGCCACTGTGCCATGTACTGTAGTACGTAGTGGGACTTGAACGCACAGCCCAATCTACAGTCACCAAACAGTTGATTTGTCTAAATAAAAATGAACATCAAACACCTTGACCAGCTTGCTGTGACCCGGATTTGAACCGGGGTTACTGCGACCACAACGCAGAGTACTGACCACTATACGATCACAGCTGTGTGCTGACAGGCATTGTGTGTGGAACAAAGAGGCTGCAGAACGCAGTTCTTTGTTATCAATGGACCGTTTTAGGGTAACCTGCATCACTAACTCAGTCCACGAAGCTCAGAGTTAACTGTGGAAAAAATGAAGGGTGATATATACATGTACACTAGGGAGCGCAGTGTTACCTGGTGGGAATGTTAGTTACGGTGAATAAGTGAAGAAGCGTGAATGTGATGGAACTGTACAGTGTTACTTATTGGAAATAAACCTTTCCCATGTTAAATACAGAGGCCTCCTGTGAGTTACCACAAAGAGTATCTACCTGGAAGACGCCAAAGGTTTTAGTTTTAGACCTATTCTGGTCAGTTAGCTTCAGTCAATTAGCATTGTCGTTGTTCAATGCATTGTAAAAATAAATAACAAGTCAGAATAGTCACTAAATGTTTAATAATCGTGGAGGTATGTTTTCATGACATTGTGTTGGATTTATATTGATTATTTGATTAAGTGGTTAGCATTTAGTTTCCTCCCGGCCTGCTAATTTAGCCGCGGCCTGCTAACGAGGCTATGTGCAGTTCAAGTGCATTAGCTGTTGTTGTAACTGCTGGTGATGCAGAGGAATGTTGCGTTTAAAAAAGTGAAGATGTCATTCATTTGTATAGTTAACTGAAATTTGACTTTAAAACAAAGGACATTAAATGAATAAAATACATTAAAGTGTTGAACAGTTCTGCATACCTGTGTGCAGACTGTTTTTTTTTAGGGACACTTCCATCTGTGCCATGTGAGGAACTGCTTCACCGTGGTCCAGGACTTCATTACAGCTGTGGATGCTTTCTGCGTGTCAGGACGTGGGACAGGGATGTTTTCTGTACCAGGAACCAAGCCAAAAGGAAACCCATCTGAGAGCTCCTTATCCTTTGTTTTGACACTTTTTATTATTCTGCCTGAACCTTTTAGCCAAGACTGGCTGATAGTTGGAAACCGTCGAGCATTGGAAGTAAAATGGTTTCTTTAGTATTTTGTTTTTCCGAATTTTGTGAGTTATTAATTATTTTTTGTTTTACATTAATTTTTTCCCCCCCTTGTCGTGTTTAGCGTTGTGACAACAGAATTGTAATCTGAGTGGCGTGCTCAGTGCCCCGGGAGCCATGGTGTGCCCCCAGGATGTCGCAGCAGTAGGGGGGGGGGGGG